CTTCTCTTCTAGATTAGTTTCCAGCATCTATCTATCTATCTATCTATCTATCTATCTATCTATCTATCTATCTATCTATCTATCTATCTATCTTTCTTTCCTTCCTTCCTTCCTTCCTTCCTTCCTTCCTTCCTTCCTATATCTATCGTCTATCTATCTATCTATCTATCTATCTATCTATCTATCTATCTATCTATCTATCTATCTATCTATCTATCTATCTATCTTCCCTTCCCTCCTTTCTTCTTTTTCTTCCTTTTCCTTCCTTTTTTTCTTGCCTCTAACTTTTCTTTCTTTTTCTTTCTTGTCTCTTCCTTCCTTCCTTCCTTCCTTATTTCTTTCTTTCCTTTCTTTCTTCCTTCCTCCCATCCCACCCTCCCTCTGTATATCTCTATCCATCTATATCTATATGCATCTATATGAGGTATCAGGGGGAGCCCAGCAGAGCCGATGGATGCTGCCCTAGCTTTTCCCTCTTTCTTCTCCCTGCTCCTCCTCCTCCCCTCATGCTGGCTGCTCCATTTCCATTTCTCCATTGCAGCGTAGCAGCCATGATGTGGAGCTTGCACACCCACCACTGCCCAGATGCCTTTGCTTCAGTGGTGGGTTTCAAAAATTTTTAGAACCTCTTCTGTAGGTGTGGCCTGCTTTGTGGGAGTGGCTTGATGGCCATGTGACTGGGTGGGAGTGGCTTTCCAACCATGTGACTGGGTGGGTGGGCCAACTTGTAAAATATGGTGAAACTCACTTAACAATGCTCTTGCTTAGTAATCAAAATGTTGGCTCAGAAACTCTGGCATTTGAAGCACGCAAGTCTTAAAGCTGTCAAGTTACAAGACCTTCCACCTCTAACACTTTAGGAAAAAAAACAGGGGTGTTTAAACTTGACAGCTTTAAGACTTGTGGACTTCAACTCCCAGAATTCCTCCTCTCGCCCTTCATCTTGATGATGTGCGGACAGGCAGGGGGAGGAAGCTGGAACCGGCTCTAAACGGCATTGTAGATTTGTGGAACCTCTTCTATAGAAGAGGTTAGAACTGGCAGGAACCCACCCCTGCTTCGCTTCTTCCAAGCATTTTCTTGCTAACCTGATTTTCAGCTCCATCGCATTTCTCTCCATTGTGTGCAGGGGAACAAAGGTTTGTGGGACTAAAAAAAATCAATCAGTTATAACTTCATGAGATTTTTTTTTGTAAGAAGTTGGAATTGATTTATTAAACTTTTGTTTTAGTCCCACAAACATTTCTTTCCCTGCACACAATGGTGAGAAACAGGACAGAGAAACAACAGATCTGGAAATCACATTAGCAAGCAAATGCTTGTGGGGAGCGAAGGCAGCTGGGGATGGTGGGTGAGGCAAGCTCCATTGCATGGCCACTGCAGTGCAATGGAGAAATGGAAATGGAGCGGCCAGCATGAGGGAAGGGGGAGGAGCAGGGAGAAGAAAGAGGGAAAGATTAGAGAACCGGTTGTTAAATTATTTGAATTGCACCACTGCTCCATTTCCCTCCACCACCCTTAGCACTTCCCTTCCAACCAAAGCCGGCCAGCCTCACTGCAGCAGCGGAGAAAAGGCTGAGGCACATGTGGCAGCCAGGAAGATAGAAATGGAACTGCATAACTTGTGTGAGGCTGAGAATTTTTGTGGTGGACTAAAAACTTACTTAAGCTGCCTTAAAGCAGTTCAGTCCCTTTTTCCCCATTTCCCTGCTGCTCTCCCACTTTCTCCACTTCTCTCTCTGCGCCGAACTATCTCCTCCAGAACTATTTCCTCCGGTGGGTGAAGTCAAGGGAGACTCTGCCCAGAGAGACCGATGATGTGGCAAAAGGGAAAATTATCATTGGTTGTTCCACATTCCTGGCTACTCCCAATTCTGAATTTTAAGGAAAACACTTCCTCTCCCTAATCTAGAATCCCCGATTCCACCTCTGAAGCTGGGAGCATCTGCCTCTTTCTCTTCTCTCTTGGAGGACACTTATGGGGCAGCATCCATGGGCTCTGCTCAGCTCCCCCTAATGCCTCAGGTTTGACGTGATCGCCCACTCTGCCTCTTTCGGGGTACCCCTTCAGTGGTGGATTCCTATCGGTTCAGCCCGGTTTGGCCAAACCAGTAGTGGTTTAGCAGCCTGCCATGCCCCCAAACCAATTCCCTGGTGAGGGCCATTGGCACTGCCATCTTGTTTTTCAGTTCTGCACATGCACAGAACAATTTTAATTGTTCGCACGCAAAGCATGCACACAAGTGAACCAACAGTAGTACCATCCAAAACCCATCCCTGCACCCCTTCTATGCCTGGACTCTCTTGCCGGGAATGTGTGTGTGCGAGTGTGGGGCGGGGGGAGGGTGAAAGACCAAGGCTGAGGTAAGGGAGTGATTTGCTCCTTTGACGAATTGGTGTCTTCACTCCCCCAGAATGGAAGGAGGAGAGGGGGGGCATGGGGTCGTTGGCACATTTACTCCATGTCTCTCAAACTTGTGGAGGATGGCATGGTAGTTCCCAGCCTGTGTGGTGGACTGTGGCATCAACTGAGCCTAGAGATGGACACAGAGAAAGGGGGGGATGGATGGGCAACTGGGCTGACACTTGGCTTTCAGTGCTGGAGAGGACAGGGAAGGGAAGGGCTGAACTGCCGCTGCCTTTCATTGCAGCACGTGGAGCAAGATAGGGCTCTTCTCCCCCTCTTGTTGGGCATGGCAGGGCTTCCTGCCCCTCACTTAGCCATTTCCCCCCTTTATCGAATGCAATTTGGGTGTGGCAGATGGGGAGAGTTGGGGAAGGGGAGGAAGGCTATTCAGCCAGTTCACTGAAGTGCAGAAAAATTAGGCTACCAGTTCTCCTGAACTGGTGCGAACTGGCTGAATCCCACCACTGATTGTGACTTCTGAATTCCTGCTGGCTTCCCCATTG